TTTAATTAAAAAAATGTTTTAACCATACTGGGATTAAAATAAAATAAAAATTTTTTAAATGCTTTTTAACTGTATTTTGTGTAACAGAAAATTTCTATTTTTTTTTTTTTAGTCTTTTTTTAAATATAACAATGATAAGACTTTCTGGTGTTGAACCAACCTTGCATTCCTGACAAAAACTCTATGTTCATGATGTAACTTTTTATAGGTATTTATATTTATTTATTTGTTTGTTTGTTTTTAGAGAGCACACAGGAGCAGGGGGGAGGGGTAGAGAGAGGGAGAGAGAGAATCTTAAGCAGGTTCCACACTGGGTTCTATCTCACAACCCTGAGATCATGACCTGAGACAAAGCCAAGAGTCAGATGCTTAACCGACTGAGCCCCCGAGCCCGCAGGTGCCCCTATGATGTAATTTTTTAAATATGCTTTTGAATTTTTATATTTATGCTTATTTTTATATATTACATATACATATATATTTATAAATATATATTTTTATGTATCTTTTTATTTTGATCAATGTTAACAGAGGCCTATCTTACTAGTATTTCCAAAGAATAACATTTTGGCTTTGTTTTCCAATTATCTTTGTCATTTATCCCTGTCCTTATTTTAAATATTTCCTTCTTATCTCCCTTGGCCATTTTCTAAATTTTGAGTTAAATGTTTAGCTTAAGTTTTCTTTTTAAGTTCTTCTTGCTTTCTGACAAATATCTTTAAAACTACAAATTGCATAAGTACTATTTTAGCCATGCCACACAAATTTTGACAAAACATTTCTATTCAGTTCTAAGTATTTTGTAACTTTTCTTCAGATGATTTTTAACTCAAGAGATTTTATATTATGTTAGAGTCTGGACATATAGTAGTTTTTTGTTATCCTTTTAAAGTTTTATAATTGCATCGCATTATGACTTTATGACCCATGCTGCCAACGACCTCATCAGCAGCATGCACACACGTACAGACCCAGAGAAGTTGATGACATAATCAGTGTAGCCAGAGAGATCTGAAAGAAGTTTGGGTTGCACTGTCTAAAGCATCTTTATGCTTACAGTAGATGTTCAATAAATACTTATTAATGATTAAACACACATAGTATATATGTGTGATTTGAAGGTTTGGAAATTAATGTGAGTATATTTGCATGAGGTATTTCTGAGTAATATGGATTTCTAAGCCAGGGAAGAAAACCAGTATCATTACTTTACTCATACCTCATAAAGGTCAGCTCTAACAAAGTGAATTATTAATTATTGATAGGATTATTATCTAGTTTGGCACTATCTAAATCTTTTACTTTGCTATTTCCCTTCTGTTGTTACCTTTGCAAATACTTTTAGGACTTATGAGATGTTGCTTTTTAGTAATCTACGCTTGCCTGGCACATAGCTGAGTTTAATAATTATTTACGATTGTTTATTGAAGGAATGACAACATAGCCAAGAAATAATAGTTAAATTGTCCGTCAATAAGCCAGGCACTTTAACAGACGCTCATTGTGCCTCACCTAAAACCCCAAGTCATGTCTGTTTCTAAGCATATCATCCCCACCTACCGCCCACCTGTATCTCATTGCCTGAGGACTTCCTCCGACCACTGGAGTTCATTTTGCCTACACATGAAGCTGGCCTGAAGTTCCAGGGAATTAACCTTCCTTACCCCAGAAGCAGCTCTGAACCAATTTTTAAATTTATGGATAAAATTTATGAATAAATAGCCCAGCTTTCTTATTCCTCTGTCGGGCTAATTCTAAGGTGTGTATTCTATGTACTGTATAGGGTAGAGAGATAGGGTATAGACTGGGAAGTTTTGTGAAGGCAGCAGAGGTAGATAAAAGTGTCATCTGGGTCTTGAAGAAATAAACCAGATTTCTTATGAGTGGGAGTTTTAAGCCATGCTAAATTGGTATGCAGATAGCATTCTTTAACCCTAAAATAAACACCTGACTATAGGAGTAGTAGAGAAAGTAGTTTAAATGGGCTGGTTTTGAGCCAGCTATCATTTACTGGCTGTTTTGCCATAGACAAGTTACTTAATCTCCCTGTTTATTATTTATTTATTTATTTTATTTTATTTTTTTGAAGATTTAAATAATGTCTACACCCAATGTGGCGCTCAAACTCACAACCCCAAGATCAAGAGCTGCATGCTCCACCAATGGAGCCAGCCAGGTGCCCTGAGCCTTACTTTACTTACCTATAAAATGTATTTACTTTTTAAGGAGGTTATGAGGATTAGATGAATGACGAAGTATAAAGCACTTAGAATAATCCGTGGGGTATCTGTGGTCTCAATAAATTTAAGATTATTTTTATTATGAAAGAGTAAGGTGTTTTTTTTTTCTTTCCTTCTACTCCACTGTAGTGGTTTAATAATTTTTTTTTTTTTTTTGACAGAGAGAGAGAGCACAAACAGGGGGCACAACAGAGGGAGAAGCAGGGAGCCCGACGCGGGGCTCAATCCCAGGACCCTGGGATCATGAGCTGAGCTGAAGGCAGATGCTTAATGACTGAGCCACACAGGTGCCCAATAAACTTTTTGTTTTAAGAGCTAGAAAAGTACAGGGGATGGCAGGCAAGTGCCTAGAAACTTCACGGTGTCTATAGTTGTCTGGCTTTTCTATACACTTGTGTAGTGACAACTGGGGAGATTTGTCAATACAAATATATTCTCTTTGGACTCATTATCGCCTCCTTTAGTAGTCTTGGCCACTTCTGTGGCTTTAGTTACCATATATATTTTGACAACCCCCAATATATAATTCTTTTGCTCACTGAACTTCAGATTTGTATATCTAACTGCTTAGTAGTTATCTCCTGGCATCTCCAACTCAACAGATCCAAAGCTGAACTCATTATCACACAGGCAGACTTGTTCCACTCATAAGCTCAATCTCAGATATGAAATGAGGCCTAGGGTTGATTCAGTTGACTCATTGGCTGGGCTGGTCCTTATTTTCCCAAAAATCCATTACAAATTAGAAAGGAAGTCTTTATAAAATAGAGAAGAGCCATTCTTCAGGCAGGGATAAACAAAAAGCCTTGCTTCCTATCTGGAATATTCAATAAACTTCAAGAGATTACCTACTTAAAATTGCATTAAATTAAAATGAGTCCACCTAGCCTCCAAAGCCAGGAACTTGGGGGGTCATCTTAGATTTCTTCAGTCCCCTTGCTATCTCATTACCCACAGTCTTGTTTAATAATAATTAACTTTGCTTTCTTATTTTTAACCTACTACAAATCTTCAAATACATGTTGAGTTTCTCTTTCCCTTCTTTACCTCCTCAGCTTCAGGTGTTCATTCAAATGCTTCCAAGCCAATCTTTTGACCTTTGGCTTTGGCCCAAGTACCTCCCCCACATGGTTGGCTTATAACTTAATTGGAATGCAAATCTGATCAAGTGTCTACCCTTGACCAACTGGCTGGAATGACTCCTCATGGCCTGCAGTATATGTTTAAGGCCCCATGTGAACTTGTCCTCATCATTCCAGCTGCCTTCACAGCCTCTGTTGACTTCACACTTTGTTTCAGTAATACTGAACTATTTTACGTATTTTCCCTTTCAGGTCATACTGTTTGATGACGTGGTAATTTTGCTTGTGCCTGTAAGGATCTCCACATAATTCCCACTCATCCTTCAAGGATAATCTCAGCTAGCTTCTCCCTAGAAAGCCCTCCCTGACTCATTTGAGTCCAGGCTAGGTGACAGCTCCCTGGGCTCCCAGGGGTCCCTGGTACACACCTCACTTATTATTTATTTCTTGCACTGCACCGACAAGACATACTCCCTCCCATCAACTGGGTGGCAAATGTCTCAAAGTTAGGGCTTTTCTGTCTTGTATGCCTAGCACTAGTCTCAAATCATCCACAATAACTATTTAGTGAATGAGGTTGTGGAAAATGCGTACTGAAGATGTTCAAGCAGAGATGGAGCAGAGGTTCTCAACACTGGCTGCATGTAGGAAACATCTAGAGACCTTTCAAAAATCCGCATACCAATGACCCACACCAGTTTATTTAAATTGGAAGCTCTGGGAGGGAGACCCGGGCATTTAGACATCAAAACTCCTATGATAACATGCAGGTGAGGCTGGCAACCAGTTGGTTAGATGATCACTGGACAAGGATTTGGAGAATGTAACTCTTGACACTTAAGGCACTTTTCATTTATGAAATTCTGTGAGATGATTGCTGGAATTATGCTTAATATTGGCTAATTTCCTCAAAAATATCCCCCATACATTTATACATGTTGGCTTGTTTCGTTTTGTACGCTGGGAACTTAGTTGGCCAGCTAGTAACCAAATGGTGAGTGATTCCAGGAAACTAATGTTCTTGAAAGAGCACTCACCACAAATGCCCATGTATTTGTTTAAAATAATGTAAAAAAAAAAAATAGTAGCAAAGGGAGGAAGAGGAGGAGTGGGTTTTAGATGCTTTGTGCATTCATGTAGTGATATTAGAGAAAGAAGTTTCTAAACACTTCCTGGTTCTTTTGAAATGCCAGATCTGTAATCTTCCAACTTGTTCTTGTCTTTTTCTTGTTTGTGGTGATGATGATGCTTGGCAGTGGATTTTCTTTCTTTTATAATATCTGTGTCTACTGTGAAAGAGAGGCTGTGCCACATGTTGATTTTAGAAGTTTTCAAATTATCGGGACTTGGAATAAGTTCTACATGGAATAAGAAAGTCCAGTTTAGGACATTAGTATCTGTGGGAGGACTAAACTACTCTAGTTTGTACTTTTCCATTAAGAGTGCTTTCTAGGAAAAGAAATAAGTTTTGAAGATCAACATAAAAACAGGAAAAAAGGGGAAGGAACTTCTTTCAAAATGATCATCTAAGCTTTAGGAGAAAAATACCCTAGAGTCTTGCAATCTCAAAACTAATATTCAAACTCTCAATCTCTTTGCTTAAAAAAGTTTAATAAGCTGTAAAATAAATACACTTCCATTAAATATTAAATAAATTATTTACAACTTGAAAAAATACTTTTTATCTCCATGCATCTTTATGTACAGAAATAAGACTTAGCATAAAAAGCAACAATTGAACTTTTAAAACCATTAGAACAAAAAGGTTCTGTTTTCTTATGATCCACCGAAAAGAGGAACCAACTCATCACTCATGGTTCTGACCTGGCAGTGACTCCAATCCGATACCCTGGTCAAAAGGAAAACAGAAATATTAGAGATGAAGCTCAGTTTCTTACAGCTTTAAGAAAACATAAAAAAAAAAATCAGGAATCAGAATTTCTGTCAATTTAGAATGTCTTCTGAAAAATGCTAAAAGCTTTTCAGAGACAAACTACCACTTCGACCTGAGTCTCTCTTTCACACCTTCTTTGGTTTTACTTAGGTGGAGCACTGCCTATGCTGAAATCTGTTTGGTCCAATTCCACTTAATAAGAAACAACAACACTCATGGGAAGTAGTTTTCCTAACCAAATCTATGCAGTGGACATAATTAAAAAGAAAGATTAAATGGCTCAGTGTATTCGTGATATACAGTTAATTTAGGATAATTAGTACCAAGGGCATAATAATAGTAGCTACCAGCTAATGGCAGCCACTATGTGCCAACGCAGCATATTCCTTTTCCAAAAATCATCTCAGATCTACTTTGAGAAATCTCAGTTGCACTAAATAACTAAAAATCTACCTTTCTTCATGTTGGTGGTCTTAGCTTCAGCACATTAAGCCAATGCTATAATAAATGTTAATGCAATAAGTACTGAGCACAACATTGCATCAGTAATTACCATTTCAGGAGTTATTGAGCTAATTCTGTAATAGGCTCAGGATGTAATACTTGCACTTAACCAATGCTAAATGGAGTGTTTCTCCAAGCATCTGTGGTGTCCTATAAAAAGGGAAATACTGGATTTAGTAGATTTAGGGTTTGGCTTAGGAATGTGCATCTTTAACCAGCATCTCAAGTAATTCTTAAACCCACTGAAGGCAGAGAACCAATGACTTAAGGACGGGACATCTTTCCTGAATGTCTAAGGAAATGGAGTTCCTTCTTCTGACCAACTTTAAATGTGTCCTTGATCTCTTTGTCTACTTTTCCTCTGGAAGTTTGCTTCATTAGTTGTCCACTTTAGTTATTAATAAAATATTCCTCTCCATAGCTCCTTACCTTTCCCTACAATATGCTCAGCTCTGCTTCTTTACAAAAAAAAAAAAAATTTAAAAATAAGAACTACAATATATCCCTTAGCCAAACTATCTCTCAAATTTGTACCCCCTTCTCCCTTCCTACTTCCTTGCTTTTTTTTTTTTTAGAGGTGGGGGGGCAGAGAGAGAATCTTAAGCAGGATCCACACCCAGTGTGGAGCCCAACGCGGGGCTCGATCTCACAACCCTGAGATCATGACCTGAGTGGAAATCAAGAGTCAGACGCTTAACTGACTGAGTCACCCAGGTACCCCACTACTTCCTTTCTTTAAAAGAATGTTCGACCTGCTATCTCTACTTCCTCACATTTATAGTCACGCTCCCTAACCTGGCTCTCCACCACAGGAGCTCAACCTTCATTCCAACCATCTCTCCTCAACACCCATTTGAACTAGGCCATTTGTCACAAGTTTCTAAAGTGACCCAGTCCATCTTACAGTATGAAAAGGAAGATTAATACTTGTCCCAAGATCAATTGCTTGCCTCAATCTCATCAGTCCTTGGAGGCTCACTTCCAATGCCACCCTATATACGACATCCTTTCCTGCTCCCTACACAGGACTTCCTCCCCTTCACTGGAAATGCCTCATATTCCTTTCATATGACACACATTTTCTTGCCCTGGCATTCTGGTTCCTTATACTATTTTCTATCTTCTAAATGCTAACTTCTTTGAGAAGAGGAGCTGTGTCTGCCTCATCTTTACATCCCTTGTAATAGTCCTTTCTCACTATTGAACTCCATCTCACGCTCAAAGAATAAGACTTCAATGTAGCCAATGTTCATAGTGTATCCATAATTGAGAACACTTACTTTCTTCACTTGAGATAACAGATGCTATGTTTTTCAAAATTATAAGATATCATCTACAGTTATCTTTTAAAACTCAAACCTGTATGAGACGCCTGGGTGGCGTATTCTGTTAAGCATCTGCCTTCGGCTCCAGTCATGATCCCCAGGGGCCTGGGATGGAGCACCGCATCGGGCTCCCTGCTCAGCTGGGAGTCTGCTTCTCCCTCTCCCTCTGCCCCTCCCCCTGCTTGTGCTCTCTCTCTCTCTCTGAAATAAACAAATAAAATCCTTACAAAAGAAATTCAAACCTGTAATGTTATCTTCAGTTACGCTATGGCATGTGCATTTCCATTTTCTTGTCGAAGTTTCTTTCGTTCTTCAGCTTCTCCTTCATATTCCCTGAAGTATCGTTTTCGAAGCCTTCAGACAAGATATTCTATGGTCATCAAAGTTCTATTCATCTCTATATTGATTGGGGTTTTCATGAGTACAGGGAATTCCTTTTTGTGAGGCCTTATAGGCCATTACACTGTATTCTATACCAAGCCAAAACTTAAACCCAGCTATAAAATATTACCACCATTCTTTTTAAGGGGATGTTCATGGTGACTTTATATAAACATATTCCCAGAGTACTGAGATTTAAATAGACACCCCTTGAGACACAAACTTTCAGAAGGCATGGAATACATTCATGTGTGTTTTTGTTTTTCTTTTTTTTTTAGTTGACACACAATGTTACATTAGTTCCAGGTGTATAATAATATAGTGATTCCATAAGTTTATACATTATGCTACACTCACCACAAGTGTAGCTACCATCTGTTACCATACAAAATTATTACAATACCATTACTATATGCCCTATGCTGTGCCTTTTAATTCAATGACTTATTCATTCCATAACTGGAAGCCTGTATCTCCCACTCCCCTTCCCCCATTTTGCCCATTTTCCTACCCCCTCCCCTCTGACAACCATCATTTTGTCCTGTGTATTTATGGGTCTTTTTCTGCTTTTTGTTTGTTTGTTTATTCATTTGTTTTGTCTTTCAGATTCCACATGTAAGTGAAACCATACAGTATATGTCTTTCTTTGACTAATTTCCCTTAGCGTAATACCCTCTAGGTCCATTCATGTTGTTGCAAACGGCAAGACCTCATTCTTTCTTTTTTTCCTCAACACTTGGCACAGGTGCCATGTACAGTTGGAGGAAGAAGATGGTATAGTTTTACCACAGAAGGACTTTACACTTGTACCAACTAATTTAAGTGATCAGAATTTTTTCACACAAGCTTACAAAACAAGTTGGGTTTTCTTTATTTCTATATATAATAAGTACTTTCTTTTAGTTTTATTCATTGTTACTTTCTAGTAAAACTCAGTCATTTAAAAATGTCTTGGTGTTATACAAGAAATTCTATTTTTAACAGGTCTTTAACCCGTCTACCAAACATTACTCCTAAAATCATAAGAACTTTGTCATGATGTTTGGGGAAAAAAATTCAGTTATGAAAAAACAGCAAAATGTGGCTTGGGCTACTGTTTGCTCTATGTGTCAAACACAGGAATATGGTAGAAAAGGAGAAAAGTCACTGCTTAGTTTTAAGAGTGCCAACACGACAAAAAGTTTTTCCATGCTTCTCTGAAGGATTATTAAATATTTCACCCTGAATGATCCCAAGTTTGAATAATTATTTCAAAACATCTTCCCTAACTGGCTATTTTTTTCCTTCTATCCTTCTATGCCGAGCAATCATGATTTGTCTGAGGGTATTTTTCCTAAACATATTTGCATATCTGGCTTGAGGTATTAACAGATCAACATAATTTCCAGGGTGTGCAAAACAAATTTAAACCACACATCAAACTCTATGTGCATCATAAAACAGTTTTTTTTTAATGTGTCTTTTTATCATTATCTGATCTGCATTTAAAATAATAGTAAACAATGGCAGAAGATAACCCCTTGTTTCCTGAATGGCAGGAGTGGTAGATCATGCACACAATCCAGTTGTTAAAGTAATTTACCAAGACCTAAAATTAGAATAATGAGTCTATTGCTTTTCCCAAGCTCTAGTAGCACATGAGTCATTACAGAGCCATTCACACCCTCCCCCAACTTCCTTAATTCACTGACTTCAGTTTGACAGACAATGCCATTTTGACATATTCACCAGTGCCTACTACCAGGAACAGTCTACTTCTAACATTCATTGGTCATGAAATGAAGTGTGGTGATCTGTTATTGTGAACACAGGGCAGATATTGCAGGAGCAGAACAGTAATAGAATTGTCCCTGCTTCCTACGCCATGCCATATGGAGGAAAATTTTTTTTTTTTTTTTTAGTAACTGAGTTCCCATATTACCTTTGACAATTACAAAACAGGCATAAGCTCTATGTAAATCAGTACCATGCAATGACATCTAACTTAGAATTTTGCATTTTACTAGAAGCAGAGGATAGATCTTTTCTTGGCTCCTGGTTTGAAGCTCTTTGTGATGTTTTTTAGTGCCAAAGCAGAGTCTCTGACAACCTACTATGAACCAGGCCTTAATTAGCTTCTGGGAGGCCTCCTTAAGCTTAAAGATATTCAGAGTCTATACCAACACTCTGGGATTTGCGGGTAGCCGTGAGTAGAGATATAACATGAAACAAAACCATCGATTTTTAAGTTCAAAAAATGTCTAGGGTGTTTGAAAAACGGCCTTACATATTAAATTTTGATGGTGGCCAAAGTAATACAAATTTTGAGCAAATTCTGTGATCTTTGTCCATGAAGTGTAAAGATATAACCAAAGGTCACATGCCACTGACAGAATAATTCATCTAAAAGATGATCTAGGACATTGGGATAGAAATACTGAAAAACCACATCAACCTGGCATTACTGTAGTCGGAAAGTGGAAGTTAAGCCATACTCACTGGATTGTAATAACAACAGCAATCGCTGTGAAGCTCACTGCAGACACGAAGGCAGCTATGGCAGCTAAAGCAATTTTTGATAAATCACTGTCAACCACGCTGTGAGTCTTCATGGACTTTTCCCCACACCGTTCACCAAAGTAATCCTGATGACATCTGTAAACAACCCACATTCAAAAATTATAATAATAACTGAAAACATTCCATATATTTTAGGTTTACTTTCCAGGTCATCAATAGGCATTTCGTTGTAATACTCAAAAAAAAAAAAAAAATCATGCCATCTATTTGTATTTCAAAATCATGAGACAGGATGCATTCAAGCCAAAGATCTATTAGTATAAGAACAAGTTGAGATGAGTTCGGGTGTGATATTCCAAGAAGACACACCTTTTCATTCTTTGTGCTCCTTTTCATGACCGACTGATGAGTTCAGTGACTTGTTATGCAGCTAATACATTCCACTATCATTTAATGTGCTAGTGGCTTGTGGGGGGATGAAGGATTATGTGTAGAGTACCTTTAGGTCCTTTTTATTTATACCAAGGGTCAGCAAACTATAGCCCATGGGTCAATTCTAGGCATTTGCTAGGTTTTTTGCAGTGTGCAAGCCAAGGATGGTTTTTACATTTTTAAATGGTTGCATTTTAATTGGTTCTGTAAGTACATACATAATCTTGACCAAAGAAGCCTAAATTATTTTCCAGCTGGTCCTTTAAGAAAAAGGTTACAAACCCTTGGTTTATACATGGGAAAAATAAATGGCTTTCTGCATCTAGGAGTTTCAAACATGGTGTTTTAAATACAGATTTCTATATAATTTAGGAAAACTTACTTGCATGTTACGGCTTCCAGGCGCTCTATATATTTGCATTCTCCATGAATACAGAAATTTTGGAATTCTGCATCACATGGATTTTTCTTTTTTCTGTTTCTTCTATTTTTTCCACTTTTGCCTCCTTTTTTCTTTCTTTTGGGTTTGTCTGAAGTCTTTTCACTTTCTGTTCTGTTTTTCATGGGTTTAACTACCTGTTCAACTAAAAAAAAAAAAGATTTATTGACAACAGTCTCTCTTCATCTTGAATATCATTTTGGAGACATGAGAGAAAGAAGTCCTAGTAGTGAGAGCTCATGGGGACAATGACCATATTTTTCTCATTATTTAACACAATTCATATGTAATAATTGGTTAAAGAGAATATCTGTATGGTGTAGCACTTAACCATCCGAGCCTCCTTGTTATTTTATTAGCTTAGAAACGTATTTTGAATTTAATTGTACCAGTATTATTATTATTGATAATAGTATTTACTTGTCTAAAAAAATCCATGAAATATCTTACACATTTCTTGAATTTCTTATTCATGCCAAGTTCTTGGTAATGAGCATTAATTTGATTAAACCCAGGTCACAGTTGAATGTACTGCGATCCAGCTGACATGGAGGACGACACTGGAGTTGAATGAAGACAAGTAACATGTCCGAGGACATGCGGCTAGAAAATGACAGTGCTGGGGTGCCAAAGCCTGTCATTCCCCCACTATCCTATGTTTTCTCTTGGATAAGTCAATACTACTGATGAAACTGGGACTTTAGTATATTTGTTGATTTTATTTACTCATCTCGGTCTTGTGCTCAGTACCATAATTGGGCATTACTGTGTATTACTTGAGAGTGGGAAAAAACTGAGAATTACACATTAGAATGAATCAATTTTCTCCAACTCCCAGATGACAATGGGTTATAATTAATTCCATGGGGCTCATTTCTGTGGTCAATCTGTTTGAAAAATAGGAACCCAGAAATATTTGTACTTGATGCTTCAGAGACTCACTCATCTTAACTCTAGAACTACAGAAACGTTGGTTCAGCATCATAGCTATGCGGGATATAGTATGCCCACATGCTAAATAAAGGACGGAGTTTTCCCCATGTTGGAGCTGTGCATTTTGTTATACTAATACCTGAGCAGGCTTCTCTAAGCAAGTATTTAGCAAACAGAGCCCAGTACAAAGAGGAAAATACCACAATGTCATAATACCATTAGTTGTAACTAGAAACACAGAGAAGGGTATCAAAGATAGAACCCTGTGAATAAGGAAGCAACAAATAAATATTATGAGTATTTTAGCAGGTTATTATAACATTAATAATAGTCAAAGTAGGAGCAATGTTTAACCAGTTATACAATTTTTATATTGAAACTTCGATGATAAATAAGTACCGCAAGTTAGAATGAGTTCTCTAATAGAAACATTTTAAATGAATATTACTGCACATTATCAGATATATTACAAATTGTAGACAGAGACAAATCGTCACTATGCTGAAGCGCTGCAACACACATAGACCCCGTGGGCGCCACAGCCTTTCCAAGGAGTTCAACCTTCACTATTTCACAATGCGCTAGTGCTAGTCAGTTTCACCGCTAACAACTTATTTGGCCTTTTGAAATGTTAACAACTTGAAACCTCTTTGAAAGAGCAGTTTCTAATCTTCTCTCCAAAAATAAGAAGTATAAATGGACCTCTTCCCTACCTTACATAAAAGCACAAGTTACTAAGGAGTAAAACGGAGGGCTCCCTGAAGCTTTTCCCACCTGCCGCTTAACCCAGTCACTGTCCCTGTGGTATCACCTGCTGTCCCTTCACCAGGTCTGCGAGCCAGACAGGAGAGGAGTCAGAAAAACTAAGGTCAGGAGAGAAGGGGCATTAAGTCCTGCCTCCGAAGTGAATGTTCGTAGGATATTTAGAGCCGATTTACTGATGACCTCATCTGCCCTGAAACTCCAAAGTAATATGAGGGTAATGAACAATACTTACCTCTTACTTTGGTACTTCTCATTTTAAACAAATTTAAGCTTTTTTTTTTTTTAAGGATCAGATAACAGCAAGAGAGAACAAAACTATGGGTCACTATTATTTAACTAACACATGGGATTGGGGGTTAAATCATGATTTTAGCTATTTGAAATCCATGCATATTTGTCCTTTTTTAATATTTCCAGAAGGTTGTATTATTATTGTTGCTGCTGCAGCTGTCGTTGTTGTTGTTTTAGAATCTCCAGTTTCTCAACACCTGGTACTTAAAGGCTAAAGTCCAGCTGCTCCCTCCCCATTACTTTCTGTTTCCTTATTTGTATTAAAATGCAGGTATCTGGGGAAGAATGGTGGTGGGGAATGGATACAAGAGCTGAGGACTGGCTGATGTCTATGCCTGTCTCTCATCAAGGCGGTCATGTGGTCCCGTGGGAAAGAGCATAGGACGTGGAATCAAACACTGGAGTTCTCATGCTGGCTCAACTGCTTGCTGGCTGTGGAACCCGGGGCAAAACGACCTTGCGCTTCAGTTATCACATCTGTAAAATACCCACGGGGTATGCAACAGACAGACACACAAGAAAACCACTCCAAGATCCAGGGAATGGCTTTGCTCATGCAAACACACATCTTATAGGCTAGGTTTTTGCCTTCTCCTCCACTCACCTCGGACTGAATCATCTACGATATAGCCAGATATTTGTGGTTCGTTATCATACTCTTCTGCATAGTCATAGTCGATCCCCGAGGACAGTTCCCTACTAGAAGGCATTTCACTCACGGGGGAAATCTCACTTCCTGAGGACATCCCACTTCTTGGGGTAACCTCCAATCCATCAGCGCCGTGGTCCCCAGAAAATGGTTCCCCTTTCCCAGAGTAGGTGTCATTGACACCCAATCCAGCAGCATAATGGGCTGTGGGAGAAAGAACACCGGAAGAAAAGAAAAGGTAAAGCAGAGTGCCTTTCTCACCAGTCAGCTGTGTTCAGGAGAAATGTTTATCTTCTGATATCAAAGCAGTTATTGCACATGTGCTATTGTTTGGGATTGAGTCACTTATGAAAGCATCTTCACATTTTGCCAACAAGCAAACTCAGCTGTTCCAATTTACAGAGCTTCTTTCATCCAGGTTTTCTTTTCCACAGATGGTCTACACTCCTTTTCACATCAAATAACACTGCCAGATCGGCACATTAATCTAATTACTTAACAGGTAATTTATATTGTCTGTATATTCCCATCACTTCACATACCAGAGGCATTTGTGTTTGCTAGAATGTCCCATTTGGAGGGACAGGCCCTGGATATAAATATCAGACTTTCCTAACACGTGTTCACATTTTGAAAAAGATTACATATGTGAATGTAAAACAGTATAAATGATATTCAATAATAATGACTCTTATGGTCACTACTTCATTATCCTTGTTCCTACATAGGGACGAAACCGGGGACCGGGTGAGATTTGGGGCCTAAAGTTTCACGCCCCTGCTTTATCTTGTAGGTCTCGCTAAAACAGCATCGGGGTGGTGCCTTCGCTTCTCCCTGGAACGTCGTGAGGCCCTCTAGGAAGGTCAAGATAAAATCACTAGACAGAGGAGACGGAGACTTTAGGCAAGAGGCATTGCTCTGGGTCCAGGACTTAACTGCCCTAAAATCTGCGGAAGTCCCTTCACCTCCCTGGACTCGGTTTCTTTATCTGTAAAAGGAAGGATTTGGATCCCAGGATCTCTGAGGTCTCCTGCAGCTGGACTAGAGTAAAACTTTCGGAGATCTCCGGCACCCTCCTCCTGGCCTGGAACGTCGGAGACACATGCCCGCTTTTCTCCTCCTCCCCGGTAGTAAGCTTAGGGAGGGAGCTACGTGGACGCCTCCCTCGGGAAGGCCTCTGCCCGGCGCGGGAGAAGCGTCGGCAGGCGGCTCCGGGCCAGGACGTCCTCACCTGAGCCGAGGAGCAGGAGCGACAGCACCACGGGCGCCGGCGGCAGCAGCGGGGCTCTCATTGGTCCCTCGGCGCGGCGGCGTCGCGGTCTCTGCGGCAACTCGGCCGGGAGTTGCAGCTGGAAAAGGAGGTGATGGAGGAGAGAGGGGACAAAGGGCAGTGTGCGGCGGTGCTCGCTGCCCGGCCAGGCTCGGGCGCTCGAGGAGCGCCTAGAGCTCGCCTCGGGATCTCTCCGTTCCAACTCGGGCGCGGGCCCAAGGTGTGCGAACATTCCGGAGGCGCGGCGCGCACCTGCCGCTTTATAGGCCGGGCGGGGACCCAGGCAATGCCCGTGACGTCACGATCGCCGCTGTGGGTGGAGGCGGGCGGCCGCCCCGGGAGAGGTTACTACCCCAAAACCACACGCGGATGGCAGGCGCCCCACCTCCCCGGAGCGTGGAGAGCCACTGGGAGGAAATGGGAATTAAATCCTAGCTGCAAGCTGAAAACACACCCGCTCCGTATTCGAAAGTGGGAGTACAGTTCGAAAGGTAGTACCTGACAGTCAAAAGTCCCACTTTTTCGAACTATCTGAAACACGTCCGTGTGTACTCTCCTTGATCCGAACACTACCAGTTACAGAGGTTAATTAGAAAAGTTTCATATTAAGATGTAAAAAGTACTTTAAGACCAAGAGCGACTTAACAATGAATGAGAGCCCGACGTCTTTAACAAGGATAATGAAGTTCGTTACATGACAAGAGAGAGCGCCTCCTAATGAGGAGCTGCTTTATTTATGATGGGGTCTTATCTCAACCAAGAGGGCTTTCCTACCCACTCCTGGAAAGTGGCCAGAATTTCAAAGCACCTCCCCTCCCATTTATTTGTGTTCCAGCGTCCTCATCAAAATCCGGATTTACTGACCATGTACTGTTGCTAAACTATACGCAAAAATAATACCTGCACCATCTCACTCAGTAATCCTGCTGGTTAAGTATCATTTCCCCTATATTACAAGGACTTGACACAGCTGGTCATGGCAGAAGCCAGATGGATTTAAATGCAAGTTCATCTGACTCTAAAACCTCTCCCCATTCTGATAAAGGAATTTAGCCTAACCTGATCTCTGAAAAGAGAGCTTCTGGGTAGAACAATACTTGATCCTAAGGAATAACCTCTCCTGGGCAGTTTTGGCATTTAAAAGAAGGTGGTGCCCAACCCTGTGCAACTCAAATCCCAAGATAAAATGGCTAGCTTTGAGGGCCCAGTTAGAATCTGGTAGAGCAATTCATCCAGACCAAGAAGATAAAATGAAGAGGGAGGGAGCTGCTCAGTTCCCCTCACTTTGATGTAGACACAACTCCAGAACTGGATTTTTCTTGACTTGAAGAGAAAAAAAGCATTGTTCTCTTTCTCTAAATGGTTCCTTGTCCTGAAGATACATATCTCTTCCTGGATACTTCCAGTAAAACAGCTTTTTTAGGAATGTGGATCACAGTGAATCTATCCTAATTCTGGGAAACTTTTTAAAAACTACTTACTTTTTAATGGCATATCGAGGTGAGTAGGCTAAATAATACCATACATTTAGTAGGATGAAATAAACAGTCATGACTCATGCCTTCTCTCCTATTCAACATTTGTGGAGAGTATATTTGTAGGATCCACTTGTTTTATTTTTTATGCAGGGGTGGGGGCAGTAAGGAGAAAGTAAATGATGACCGATCCCTGCTCTCCAGGAGCTCCATGTGGCGTCGGTCAGATACATAGAAAAGTAATTCCATTATATCAGATGATAAGGAGGATTCAGAGTGCCATGGAAAATAAGGATGCAGTGTAATTTTGCTCCCCCCCTTAATGCCCTTTCCAGCAGAAAGTTTAAATGGAAAGAATACCCCCTGACAAAGTATGCCCAAGAATGGAAAATAAGACTAGGGAGATGGCAGTGCCCATCCCAGGGTGAAGCAGAGACCTGCATCAACTTTTTTGCTGGATGAGAAGATTGTGATTCAGACAGATTCAGAGCCTTGCCCGCATGCAGATTTCAAAAGATGGTGGAGATTTTGTTTAGAGTCCAGGCTATTGCACGGTTCTCTTCTCAGGCTTCCCTTTTTTCTGGTCCTTCCCTTTCCCTTATTCTTTCCTGTTCATCGAGATGAAAGTAAGTCGGGCACATGTTATCAGAAATGGTTCACTTTGTGTGAAGTGAAAGTGGGCTCTTGACACCGGAAATGGCTTAGTCTTTTTCCAGTTGGAAATGGAGAGGGTGACAATTTATGTTGGTGTGGGATGTAACATAGCATTATAGTATGAGCTTTCAATTCACACCAGTTGGGTTTTCATATACAAATTCTACCACATAATCACTTAATATTTGAAAGACTCAGGTTCCTCATCTGAAAATAGAATTAGATACCTACCTGCTGTTAAGCAGATCAAATGAAATAAGATACATAAACAAGTAACACAAAACCTAGTGTACACGAAGTGCTCAATAAATGGTAACTTGTATTATTAACCTTAGCATTATGATAGTTACATTGTATTAATCACATCGAAGAACCAAGTGACTCTTATAAATGGAGCTACTCAGAGCAAGTGAAATAATCTCCTTCAATATTTTCAAGCCCATGAACTTTATACCTCCTTCACATTAACACTGACCATTTTGAACATTTTATGGTTCATCATAGGGTACCATGGGGCATCATCATAATTACATCACAATGCAACACCCCTTGATGACTCACAGCATTCTGGAATATATGCATGAGAAGGAAATCAATTCCCTGTCATGTAGGATACTTTTACATTCTGCATGCTAAGCTGAGACAAGGAAGAAGAGTTTCAAGAAATTCAAGTAGAGAAGCTATTCTTTATCTTGAAAAATTGGTAGTTGCCACACCTACTAATAGGTTATAGGGCAGCTAGGCACTCACTTTGAAGCCTCGTATCTGGATCCTGATAATATTTTATATGTATAGTGGAAACAAACTCACTTTGACTCTGCTAAAAGGTGTGCTATAGAGCCGAAGAATAATTATGTGTTTGTTTGTATAATTGATCTTGAGTTTTCATAGAGAGGGCCAGGTCTGAGTAAGTATTACATCATGGTCATTTTAATGCTCAGTCAGTTAAATATCTGCCTTCTGCTCAGGTCTTGATCTCAGGGTCCTGGGATGGAGCCCCTCAAGGGGAAGCCCGTTTCTCCCTCTCCCTCTGCGCCTCCACTGCCATGCTCTCTCTCGTTCCCTCCCTCTCAAATAAATAAATAAAATCTTAAAAAAAAAAAAAAAAAAGAACTACTCCACTAGGGGATACATAAGTGAAAAAAGCCAAGGTACATTTAGAGAGGTTGTAAACTGGTGGGACTGCACGTTCACGTATATGGAAATTTTGCTGAAAATGTGAAGAATGGAGAAATGAATTTCAACAGGAAGCATATGAGTAAGGTTAATGAAGGCATTTATCTCTGAGGAACTCATGTTACAAACTGATTCAAATACAATTCCTTTAAATATGAAACTAGTGTAATAAAAATACATCTGAACATGTGAAAAAGAAAAAAATCCACTTTGCATATCATTTTCAGAAGCCAATTTGTCACATAAATGGAATCATATCTATACCGAATTATTTGTAGAATCTCACTACATCCAGTCTGAATGTAGTAAGATCAGAAAACAGGATGTCTGCCACCATCATACACTGAATTAAGAAGCATGTCAAATTTTAGTATTCTATTCCTTATGAATTTAGGATTTCAGATTAATATTTGGCAACTTATTATTTTAGAAATTAATAAATCAAAGTCAGATGGTTGAAGTAGTCAGAGTACTATGAAAGATTTTTACAGACTACCAGTTATAGTCATTAAATAATTATATCTTTGATCTTTTTAGTTATTTCCAAAAACATTTTGTATATGCTTAATCTTTCTTTAGTGCATTTCTTTTTTTTTAATTTTCTTGTATTTTATTTTATAATTTATCACTCCAGTTATTGTACATTCAATATTGTGTGAAGACCACTTTTTCATAGCTGCTGAATGCTCCTGATTGTCCTATTGCTACTTAAAAATTGACAGCATATGCATACCTCTAAGAATTACGTGATCCTATTATCAATGATCCATAGTTGATGTATTCTTGTTATGAATTTAAATAGTCTCTTTAAATGTTCCTATATTTTTAGCAAAGCTGGGCTATATATAGATTTTGCTCTATTTTCCCATGAACACAACAAGCTTTTGTTTCAAGTCCAATGAGAATAGCCACTTTTAAATTTCATAGGTGAAGAAATTACCAATTAGTTGAATAAACCACCCCTGTACAGCCTGTCCTAAGTAAGGATAGGTTAAGCCACAGAGAAACTGGTCTTTGGAAGCCATGCTTCCCAGAGCTCTTTACATGTGTGTGCTGAAACTACATGGCCAGAATTAAAAACCAAAAAATTGTAAGTTCATGTGGAAAAGAACAGACACATGTAGAACTCATAGAAAAAGGTGAATTCAAAATACAGTTATAAATTTTATAAACATGAAGTGTGTCCCTCAGTATTCTTCCTGGAATCTATATCTATATATATATACATACTGACAGATAGATAGATTTTAGTTTTATTTATTTAAGTAATCTCTCTACCCCATGTGGGGCTCGAACTCACAACCTCGAGATCAAGACTGCCCTCTGACTGAGCCAGCCAGGCGCCCTGAAATCAGTATTTTTGTCTTCAACCTGTATTTATGTACCCCCAAATGATTTTGCCTTATGCAGATGTAATTTCACTCCTAGCTTTGTTTCCTTCCATAGGAATTCCAAAAATCATTAATTTTGGTCACTTCTCAAGATGTTATCTTGAGACAGTCCAACAACATACTTTTAATATCAAATTGCTAGGTGATTTCAGAATTCCCAAGCATGACCCTGTGTGACTCTACAGAAATACTTGGCTTTTCGACAGTATAACTGGCCTGAGCTACTCCTGACGTAATGGTGAGGGAGAGCTACTGCCATCGTAGAAAAAAATTTTAAAGAAATATAAATTTGATCAAATGTTCCTATCTCAAAAATGGTGTTTACT